TCCACTGTTTACTCCTTCTTTATTCTCCTTACGCATCCCATCCCCAATCTTCCAGGATTTCGGCGATCAGGAGAATTTGAATATTCGCACAAAATTCAGTTTTGCGACCTACTCTTCTTGGTATTTCCTGGTATTGATTCGCTTACATAATTACTAATTTCTGTAGTGAAAGTTTACCCAAAACGAGATTTTTCAATTTTTGGGTGACTTCAATATTTGATTTTCACCATAGCTCTCTTACGCTATCGATCAGAATAGCCGCTTATATTGTTTGTTTACCTGAATAGCCGCTGATATCGCATATCATGTGACTTTAATCATGAAGTTTCATAGGTGCAGCCAGCCGATATTAATCTGTGGTCGAAGTCCTTTGCATCCCAAGGTGAAGTCCTATGATAGCTAGAAATATGATTCAATACAAATGTAAACTAGACAATAGGGTTTATGAAAGAAATCATTGCCAAATATATTGCCACACTTACAGGGTGCACCATGAAACATCTAGAGAGCCAAAGAACATTATTTTAATGGAGTGTAATGTATAAGTGAAACTTTTCAGGGATTTTCAAGTGACCTCGAATATTATTGACTATATCTCAATCACTTTATGATCATGTTTGTCGACATAATGTCATTTGCGGATGCATACAAGAAAAATCTCTGCTGTCATATTCATCAGTAATAAAAGGGAATATAATTGAAACCATTTAATAGATAGATGTGTAATATTACTGAATCATTCTCACGCCTCAGAATTGTACAGAGTTGTCAACAAATATATGTCGCTTATTGTGATTGAAACACATCTTTATCCTTCGAAATGAGTTTTCTGTTGCTCTTTGCTACACAATGATGAAACAATCATGAAATAACGAGACATAATGACACAGACTGAAGTCAGATAAAAACTCTATTCTTATGGAACACAGGGGTGTATCAGTAAATACGAACAATTTGAAATTGGGGATGTGCATGAGAAATCACTTTGAGGTGTGCGAATGTATCTACAATATTATAAAATCTATCCATTAAATGGTTTCGATGATATTTCCTTTCAATATTGATGAATATGACGTCAGATATGTTTCTACTACGCATCTGCAAATGATAGTAATTCGAAAAAATCACCTTTCAATTGATTGAGACATAATCAATGATATTGAAGGGGTGGTTAGAGGTCACTGATATGCTTGAAAAAATGTGCTAATATACTTGGTATTTCATTTAAAAAATTGCACTCAACTCTCTAAATTCTTTTTGGTGTACTCTGTTTTTGCGGCAATAATTTCTCGTCCTAAACTAGTTTACATTTGTTTTTGAATTATGTTTCTCATTATTTTGAAAATTTATACTTTCTGGACCCCCTCTATTCCTATATCTACCTAATTATTACAAATAATGTTGCGCTAAGGACTACGTCTAAGAGGATTGCTTTTGAGATATGACACGAACTTACATATTTTCTTATTGTCCTGAATTCTATTATTTCATTGGATTCGTTATTTTCCCCCTTCGAAATGATGTATCATACTTTATGTATAGCTTCTACAATACCACAAAATGGTTCTAGACCATTCAAACTTTCACTCGGGCTAGAGAATCTGCCTCTTCGCTGCCGTCGAATCACTTAGTATGTGTGATTTTGTCATATTGGCAATACTAGAGATAATTTGTCAGATGTACTTCAAGTTTTGAATAAATTATATCACGAAAATATAAATAGCTGGACTGCTTATTACAGGAATACATATAGAATGCAGAAGGTTATGGGCCCAGGAATCTGTCACTGCTGATATATAAAAGGCAGAAAAATGAAGAAATTCTGTAAGCAAAGATAGCGTCATGAAAGACAACTATAAAAGTTTTTCTCGAAAATGGCGGTATAATTGCAAAACGTTCCACAGTTAGTAGCAGATAACTTTAATAGTTGGAAATTTCGAATCAAAGCAATTCTGGAAGAAAAACAAGTACTGGAAGCCCTGGAGAAAGAAGTTAATGATTTCACAGAAGAGATGCAAAAGAAAGATTTTCATTTGAAAGATGCAAAATCTAAGTCTTCATAGTTCAGTGTACCTCAGATAAACATTTGGATCTGATGAAAAATTGAACAGCAAAGCAGATGATGAAAGCACTACAAGATGTTTTTGAAAGGAAGAGTGTTGATTGATTGTATGATTTCTATGGTTTCAAACTCTTAACTATGAATGCAAATCAGGATGCCGGCATTACTGCTATCGAGACCATTCCTCCAAGTACTGAAATCACTATGGAATTCGTGAATTGTCGACTTTCAGATGAAGAACTGAAAATGGACTGTACAAGAGACTAGATAAAGAAGAATTCTTTCAGTGAAATTTCGAACAATGAAGCTTCTTCCAACACAATACAACAAATAACGTGTTTTCATTTCAAGAAAACGGGCCATAAGTTTTCTGACCGTTGGCTTAGACTTGAAGCAAATATCCGAAGAAGCAGAGGAAGAGTGGACAAAGCCTGTAGAAGTCCAAATAAAAACTGCAAATGGAGAATGATATGTCAAGGAACAAAGATTTTCGAAATCTTTCAGTAAGAGGAATAAAGAACAATATGCTTTCTGTTGCGTGGTTGGTACAAAGTGGACATAAAGTAATTTTCAATAAAGTGTCAGTCATAGTGAAAAGTCCTAATTTTGATTTTCATTGTGATTCAGGACCTAGCAATTTGTTTATATCAAAAGCATAAAAGGATTGAGTGCAGCTGAAGACCAGAATATTTGGCTCCGACGATTAGGCCATTTCAATGTAGGAGGCTTGAAAATATTGGGATTGTTCTATACTAATACAAAATGCTCAAAATGCATAGGAGCAAAAAGCACGAGGAGGACTATTGCAGGTGCTGAGAAGAGCACTAAGCAAATTGGTGATCTAATACACTCATACATTTGCTCAAGTGCTAATAGATGATTACTCCCATGTTCTCATTTTTAAACTGCTCAAAACCAAAGAGGTAACTGAGCAAAATATCATTACGTACGAAGAGAAAATTTAAGGCTATAACGGAGGGGAATTTTCATCGAAATGAATAATAGAGAGATAACTCAGACACGATCAGGACGTGTTGTTAGTAGACCTTATCATCTGGAAGAGTATGTACACTATTGTCTATTGACCGATATGGGAGATCCACTAACAATTGAAGTAGCCCATATGGAGGTTGAATGGAAAAATGCAATTCAAAAAGAAATTTACTCTCACAATAACTTGTCATGGACCCCAACCAATCTTCCATCTGGTAAAAAAGCTATTGACACCAAATGGGTTATCCGTACAAAAGAAGATGGGACGAAGAAGACGAGAATTGTTGAGGAAGGATTTGCAGTTGCTCGTATGTCCACAATAAGAATAATGTAAACATTCCACAAACGATAAGATTTTCACAAAATTCTACATTGTACATTGTACCAGTATATCACCTGAAGAAGCTACTGTGTTAGCGAAACATTTCGTGTGTTTGAGAATTTTGTGGAAATCTTATCGTTTGTGAAGTTTTTACATTAGCCATGGATTTCCATCAAGTAACGGCCAAGTCAATTCAAAACACAATAAGAATGTTATTTACTGAAGCTATTCAGAATGATTGGAATATAAGACGAATGGATATTCCAACAGCGTTCCTAAATGGACCGATTGAATCTGAAATGTATATAAAGATTCCAGAAGAAGTAGAAATGAACATGTCTTGAGTTCTCGAATTGAATAGAGTCTTTATATGGTTTCAAAGAGTCTCCTGATAGCTGGAATAACAAATTCAATCAAGTAACATTGGAATATGGATTCAGAAGATGAAACTATGATTTCAGTTTATACTGCGGAGATGATACTTTGCTAATAGTGTTTGTGGACTGAATCAATTAGAAAAATGGAAGATGCTGTTGAATGGTTGGAATTGAAATTCGATGCCAAAGACATGAGGAATGTATCAAATTTCCTAGGCATGCAAATAATTAGTAATGACGATCATCTATTCATTTCTCAAACGAAACTGATCAGAAGGTCTTAGAAAAAAGGTCAATATTAGTGATTGCAAAGACGAAAGCACACTTATGGAAGTAGGATTCCAAATCTATCTTGACCAGACTGTTGTAGATGTCCCCTGCTTTTGACAAATTATCGGGAGTCTAATGTGTTTGGTTATGTCTACTAGACCAGATATTACGTTTTCTGTTGCCTATCTCAGTCGAGTACTCGATAAGCCCCCACTACAGACCTGGAAAAAAGATTACTTCGATATTTACAATCAAAAGTAACCTTGGGACTGAAATACAAGAATAGTCATCTTATTCGTCTAGAAGATATGGTATAAAGATACGGTATAATCGTATTCATCTGCCCTATACATTGTTCACTGTTCCATCAGACTTGCTGTATACTGTATAGCAGCTCTAAGAACCATTATAAATGAGATTACACAAATAAAATATCTCAAAGCAGGCTTGTTAACACAAAAATGCAATGAGAACGCAACATCTTCAACCAGAGAATCCAAAGTTTAACTGTGTAGGTACTATTCATTATGAGACACCTTGTATAAACAAAGAGAACTTCTTGAGTATCAATCATTATTTCTTCCACTGTCTTCTTTTCATCATGTTATAAATAATGTTTATGTACTTACTATAAAAGTAAATATATTATACCACGAGTCAATACTGATAGCTATTATTCTCGAGGAATATTTCAACATTCAGAGAGAATTAGAGCCATATAATTGCGAGTAGTATACTCTATTCGCAAAAACGCAAAACCACAAGTATAATTGGTAAATAGTTGTTGATTATTTTATCGAGTAATATTAACGAAATAAAATTATATGAATGCGTTGAAATTAATTTTTTGAGTAATTGATTTTTAGTCATAACTTGAAAAAATGCAGCAGTTCAAAATTCTCTTCAACTATTGATAAATATTAGTATCAAACCATTCTTTTCAGCTGTTATTTTGACGAAAAATGTTTTTCAACAGGTCAACACCAGGAGAAGCTTGAAAAAATTTTGAACAACTTGAAAAAACTGGCAGTCAATGAAGATCGTATGCATGTCGATTGGAAAATGCTGGCAGCAAAGAAACGCAAAGTCATGAAACTCATATCAGACTTGAACCACTCAGAACCCAATGAAAAGCTAGAACACAGAGTCTCCTCCGAGCTCAATCGCATTCTATCAGAATTGAACACGATGACGGAACAGAAATATAAGGTGATAGACAAGGTGAAAAGAATGGGCAATGAAATCAGAACTATTTCTGAAGCAATTGATGAAGACTTCAGACAGTACAAGAAGAGCATGTCCTCTAATAAATCAGACGTTTCTGAATCATGCAATGGAAATCAGTCTGAAAGTATCGTAGAGTCAAATCCTAACTTGAAAAATACGATATCAGAACCTTCTACATCACATGAATCGACAGGAGGTGGTTCAGATTTGGAAGAATCTGGAGATGATTCAGTGGAATCTGGAGAAAATATGCAAGATAAGAAGAGAAAGAAAAACAAGAGGAGAATCAATCAGAGACAAGATAGGGCGGAACAGGACAGGCAGAGGGGGTATGAAGAAGATGCGAATAGAGAAGACTACACCATGTGGGTGCCCCCTAGTGGTCAGTCTGGGGATGGTAGGACATCATTGAATGATAAGTATGGCTATTGATTGATTATTACCTAATAAACTTGAAATCCTGTAAACAGTTTCGATTTGTGTACTTAGGAATATCCAAGTTATTGAAAGAAATTTGTTTAGGAAAACTAAGTCAAATAAATTTCCAGAATGAATATATCAAAAAATTATTTGTTGAACAACTGACCTCCATAGTTTTGACTAAATAACTATATCAACTTGAATCAGTATATCTTGACTTTTGTCTCATCCAACAAGATCATGACTGGTCATTTTTATACTGAATATGCAATACATACAGTGTGTCCACCTTAAGGACTTACCACCCCTGTAAAATCATTGTTATCTCATCGATTTTGGGAATTGACTCATATTTCAAAAAGTACTATTAGGGATTTTTTTCCACAAAAAATAATGATGGATTCTGAATCAGGATCACTTCAAACATACCTGTACCGATTTCCATCGTCATAAGTCACAGGGTGTCCTAAAAAATTAATTATTATTTTTTGAATATTTCATCAGAAAAATGCACTCTATCGTGGCATTTTCGGAAAGAACTAATTATGGTTTCTTATTGAAAATTACTTTATACATATCTGTACCAAAGTTCATGGTTTCGAAGGTAACTTCACTCTGCACAGGAAGCCCGAGAAAAAAAACATAAAAACTATGATAAATTAATTTATATTTTTCTTCTTTTTAATGAATACCGAGGTGAAAACTATTTTATACAAGAATCAAAAAAGGCTAGTTTGTAAAAAATGTTAAATATCAGTCATTTCTATTAATCCACCGAATTCTCTAATACATTTTTCAATACGTCGACGATTATTGTTCACTACTCTTCTTAATTGCTGTCTAGTGATACTTTGACAAGCTTCTCTGATGCGGTCACAAAGCTCTTCTCGGGTCTGAGGCCTTGTAGCATAAACTTTGTTCTTTATCGTACCCCAAAGAAAGAAATCAAGAGGCGTAATATCTGGGGATCTCGGCGGCCAACGAATAAGAGGACTATTTCGTCCTATCCAGCGATTCGGAAAATTATCATTCAACCAGTTTCTCACAGCAACGGCATTATGGATAGGGGCTCCATCAAGTTGTAAATGTATATTGTAGCGATAATCAAGAGGGAGCTCATCAAGTACAACGGTTAACTCATTTTGCAAAAATCTTAAAAAGCTGGCAGCATTTAAATTTTCATAAAAAAAGTATGGGCCAATAATCTTTTCATTCAATATGCCACAGAAAACATTTACCTTTGAGGAGTATTGCCTCTTACATTCTATTACCCAATGTGGATTATCTTCGCTCCAAATTCTAATATTTTGTGACGAGACAACACCATTTGTTGTAAATGTAGCTTCATCTGAGTAGATAATTTGTTTCAAAAACTCAGGATTCTCTAGGTACATACCTTGCAGCCGTAAACAGAATTCCATTCTTGAATCAGTATCTCCAGCTTCAAGGGTATAAAGAAATTTTGGCTTGAAGGGTTTCTTACCGCTTTTTTTCAAACATTTCCATATATGGCTTCTGGAAATATTCAAATTCCTACTTGCATCTCTGAGGCTTGAATGTGGATTATCATTGAAATAATCAATTATGATTTGATTTGCTCTCGTTTCTCTATTACGATGCTGGTTTGGAAGTCTCTCTACTGTTCCATGTTGATCAAAAAATCTGTTTATTTTTGCAACTGTTACATGGTTGATATTGCGTTCTGGATATCGTCTGTTGAATTCATTAGCTGCTTCACGAAAAGTACGCGTTCCATCACCAACTAATCTTATTAATTCCACTCTTTCCTGTAGAGAATATGACATTTTTCAATTTTTCTACGGCTTTGAAACAGTATAAACTACTGAACTATCATTAATTGACAGCTAATAAATAAAATAATAGATTTTGTTTCCACAGCACTCTTAGTGGAGTACAGATTCATGATGCTGTTACTGTGAGAACTGGCCAATCATTTCAGACGAATTATTCGAATTTCGGAGTGAATATATTCTAGTTTCATGACAATCATAATAATAATAATAACTTTATTGTTTAAATTCTTATACTCTTATATGGTAATTATCGACTAGAATAACTCTTATTGAAAGAATTATTATGATAAATACCACAATAGTGCATTTTTTGGATGAAATATTCAAAAAATAATAATTAATTTTTTAGGACACCCTGTGACTTATGACGATGGAAATCGGTACAGGTATGTTTGAAGTGATCCTGATTCAGAATCCATCATTATTTTTTGTGGAAAAAAATCCCTAATAGTACTTTTTGAAATATGAGTCAATGAAATTGGTCGCAGTTGGCTACGATAACAGTCCAAAAATAAAATCACTCTCTTGTTGGATGGACATTTCAAATACCTATCCAACAAAAAAAAGTTTTCCAAAATCGATCAGATAATAACGATTTTACAGGGGTGGTAAGTCCTTAAGGTGGACACACTGTATATAAAAACATTTCTTCTACGGCTATAACACAAAATTGCGTTTGTTTTATTGTGTTCCATAAATCAATTTCATTTCCGTATCTGATATCATGATATTGTTTTAAAAAATATAATTGTGCAACTTTTTGTAACATAATCGAATATGGACCTCCGTTTTCAGTTAGCAATCCAATAAAGCATTGATGAAATAATCAGCTTCTGGAACAGTGTCGTCTAGGAATGATTCATCAGTACGATTATTTCTGACGTTTCTGCATCTATTTTCAATACCTCCAAATGAGACCTCGTAAAAAATTCACTAACACTTGTACTGACAAGCTCATACACATTACAATGTTTCAAGTCCGGTCCTGACACAACGTAATTGCGTATGTGCCTCACTATGCTCGAATTTGCTTTTGCATGAACGTTTTGGTAAAACATGAAATCCATACTTTATCAGTTTGTTGGATGGTTCGTATTCAGTGTTGCAAATCTCCGGGAAATTTCCCGAATTTCAGGATTTTTTGAGTACTTTGAGTTTTCTGGGAATTTCACCGGGAAATGAATTTTTTCGGAAAATTTCAGGAAAATCAATGGCGTTGGAGGTGTTTTTATTATATCACGTTATAGTACGGACTCGACGAGAACACTGAATATATGGAAATGAAAAATGTAGTTTGTAGAAGATAATCTATAATGACTTCCGTTTATACCTATTCTTCATCCGTGAAAGTGAAATGTCTTGTATTGCTTCCGCCTTTTATGCGCCCTGTCTCTGCCGTGCCATGTTCAACAAGGATCAGTTTTGGGCCCGATTATTTTCTTTATATATCCAAACGACCTGGTTACTCTTTCGGACGACACAACGCTCCTTTGGCATGGAAAAGATACTGATCTTATGGAAGATAATATATCTGGGAACTCTACTATCGACAATTTGTACTTGAATGGGCATTTTATTGAGATGAGAGTGGGAACTGTCATTGTCTAATTATTTACAAAATGAAAAATAAAACATTATCTTGTGAGTTTCCTGAACATACCGCCCACCAAAATGGTACATCTTAAACTCCAAACTCCGGTAAATTACCCGCATAAACTTGAATAAATGAACTATTGCAAACAAATAATAGTGATGATGAATTGAAAAAAAAAAAAAAAAAATTTTTCGACAAATCATGTCAGGAGCCTAACACTCTGTGCCTAAGGAGGAATATCCGGAGGGAGGACAAACTTTTGGACCGGACGTTTCATGACTCCGTTGGCAGTTCTCACAGTAACAACCCGCGTCAGTGCAAGGTTGAACATCTTCGATCCGACCAAGTCTCCATTTCGATAGCGGAGGTAATTCGTCCTTCAAAAGGACCAAAGTATTTATATCAATTGATTCTGAGGTTTCTGTCCATTTACGCCGCTGCATGAGAGTATGCAGGTATTCCTGATGCCATCTGTTCCAGAATGACTGATGCATTTTTTGTAGCAGTTGCCAACGGGATAATCGGTGTAAGTTTACGTCTCCTAAGTCAGGGTCAGGGAGAGAATTTAAGGATTCCATCGTTAGGAAATGCCCTGGGGTAAGTGCGCTCAAGTCACTAGGGTCCGAGCTAATACCACATAAAGGACGCGAATTGAGCACAGCCTCAATTTGGCACAACACCGTGTAGAGTTCCTCATAAGTGAGGATTTGCTGACCTATAACGCGAATGAGGTGGGCTTTAATGGATTTCATGCCATAATCCCCCGAAATTTGGACTTTTCGGTGAATTGAAATGAAATTTAATTCGCTCCTCGACAGCTGTAAATTTCATGATTGATTGAACATATTTGGACGAAGCAACGAAATTAGTACCGCAGTCACAGTAGACATGATTGGCTCTGCTCCAGCGGGCAATGAAGCGTCGAAAACCCGCAAGAAATGACGCAGAAGTAAGGTCTGAGAGTAGTTCAATGTTAGCTTTCACAGCCATACACACGAAGATGCAAATATATGCTTTATGAAATTTAGCCCCACGAAAACTTCAACCTGAGAAATTCGTTGGGCGGGCAGATTACCAATTATAGACTGCCGAGGGGTTAACACGAAGGCATTCATAGCACTTGGAAACTACTGAACGGATTGCCCGTTTCGGAGATGAAATCTAATAGCGCTGAAGTAGCAAATTGTGCAACGATTGGAGGCCAGGGTGCATATATCGAATTTCAATGACGAGTGAACCAAACATCCACCAACTCTAAGGAGTCCATGGGAGTCTAGAAAGGGAGTTAATTTACGTAGATATTCTGGAAGAGGCTTATTATTTACTGAAAGTCTGATTTCTTGGGAAAATACTTGATTCTGCATAATCTTTGAGAATCGTGAGTGATTCAATTATTTCCAGAACAGAAAATTCATCCACTTTTCGGTGGGTTGTACAACGGCAATTATGGCAGAAGCGGAGAATATAAGTCATAATACGTTGTATTTTGGACAGAGAATTAAATCGATCCAAATAATTCAATAGTGGATTCTGATCAGTTGTCATCGTGGATATGAGAACAGTGTCTATTTCTGGGTCATTATCCAAATTTGCATTGGATTCTGAGAGCCAACTATCACGGGTTAGTCGGAGCCAAGAAGGCACCGCCCACCATGGCACACAATTGAGCAACTGGATGCCGGATCAGCAGGGTTGTCGTGTGATCTGACATGCGACCAGTGTGAGGGAGGTA